TCTGTCTCTATCCATTTACATACTTATCCACACTATGGATTGGAGCAATTTAGCGAAGGTCACAAACTTGACACTTTCTGTTGTACCATCTTGTGTAAGTCCTCACCGATTTTGTGCATCAACATTTGGCGCCATCTGTGGGAACGACACTTATTCCCACTCTCTTCAGCTTTGTTAAGCTAGTTTCCACCATTCGTACACTCTCTTTTGACCAGGCATCCTTTTCCAACATGGGGAGCGAAAGAAGCCACAACACACAGAATGACACCCCTCTTACACTTGGTGTGAAGCAACGAATGAAGGAACATAAGAAGTTTGCTCTTCAGGCTAAAGTCGATGAGCTGGAAGCTTAGAACAACAAGATAGCGATGAAGAATGAGATCCTCTAAGAGCAGTATGAGAAGGTATTCGAGATGCTCCACGAGGCTAGATATACTAAAACACACAAGCTCATCACCCATGTGGAAGTCAACCATCAACTGGATGCCCCCCCAACACGGAGGGTCATTTGCCCTCGACATGGGTATTCCTGTTGAGGAGCGAGCTACTCATCGAAATGGCGACCAATATCAGACTTCTCTCAACCCAGCTGCTTCGACTCGATGCAGGAAGAGTGGAGGAATGCACCTCCTTACAGAAGGAGTGGAAGTCACGAAAGCCGTCTTTCGTGACTGTCAAGACTTTCTAAAGCAACGTCAGGACAATCCCATCCATGTAAGCTCGAAGATTAATGACCCAATGATCTCTGAAAACTCGGTCCCCTCCCATGTCCCAGGCCAGCTACCAATTTGAGGAAGGGGAAACAAGTCCTAGAGGAACATGAAGGTATAAAGGACTCAGAGATGTTCCGACAGACATACCATGGAAGTCAATACGGGGAGTCCAAGGAAAAATCACATGCTCTTGATCAAACATTCCTACTTCCAAGAAGAGATGGATATTTACGAAAGAAAGCTCTAGTGGTACATGATTCCACTCATAACCCTCTTGTCCTACAGCTCTATAAGGAAGTAAACAAGTTGAAGGCCGAACGACAAGCTAAGATACCTGATTGGAACCAACCTAGGCCTGGCCCTCTTACAAAGAGGATCCTCGACACCCCTTCCAAGCAAAGACAAAGCAGAAGCTTGGCTTGCAACTTTATACTAGAAATGAAGACCCAATTGAACACCTTAACCTCTTTGAGTCCACCATGGCATACCAGATGCACACCGACGAAGAACAGTGTCTTTTCTTCCCCTCCACCCTCTCTAGCGGAGCTCTAAACTGGTATTGTCGTCTTCGACCTGAGACGGTAGACTCATTTGAGGAATTGAGGAAACTGTTTGTTTCTCAACACACTTTTTAGGCTGATCGCTTGCACTCTGTGGATGACTTGTACACTATTCGCCAGAAGCCAGACGAGTCATTACGTATGTATGTTGGCCGCTTCAGCCATGAGTATTCCCGTTGTGCCGAGGCAGACGACAAGACTGCCCTCAAAGCCTTCACGGCAGGCCTACGTAATTGTTTCTTCAAGTACATGATCAATGCCAACACTTGGAAGACTTACTCTGAGGTGATGGCACAGGCTTACAACCATGCCTCCGCCGAGGTAAGGACATATTAAGGGAAACCCCCCACAACCACCCCTTATCAACAAGTAGGGAGTAGAAGCCAGATCCAACCTAATGAGAAGACCTTGACCTTCAAAACGGTAGCGGTGCCTCCCCCTGCCTTACTTAATACTTCGCCAAGTCAACAAACATATCAACCAAGATTGCCATCCTTACCAGTCTCATTTTAGTAAAAGGAGTAAGGGACACTATTGCGATAACCAAGGGTATCGCCACGATAATGCCTGCCCCCAAGCAGTCAACACAGTGGGCCAAGCACGTGTAAGGATAGGCCCTACCCCGAGGTATGAACGCCACATGCGTGGCCATTTACCCCAGCATAGCACACCTGATACCGAAGCCAATGCCAAGGCAGTCGGGTTACAAGCCCACGAAGAACACAGGCACATTTTGCTGCTACCACGAGCATAACGGACATGACGGCGAGAAGTGTATCACCCTTCGTGATCCTATTGATGCTTTGGCGCGTGAAGAAAAATTGATCGATTCCTCTTCACCCTTCAAGGGATAACCGTAACCAACGCCAAGTGAATGTGATATATTCCATAAGTGGCGGCATACCCATATCTGAATCTTCCAATATGGCCATGAAAAACAGCGAACGAGCTTTAAAGCCTGGCCACCAAGTGTTTCACGTGGAAGACATCAGGGGAGGCAAGTATCAAAAGCCTAACTGAAATCCAATATGTTTTTACCCTGAGGAAGAAAGAGGTATCATCTACCCTCATAACGACCCACTGATCATGGAGGCTCACATAGCCAACTTTGAAGTACGACGAATCCTGGTAAACATGGGGGGTTACGGTCAATATCATGTTTGCTGAAGCTTTCAGGGCACTTAATGTAGCTGAACACTTGCTTGATCGCTCAATTTCTCCTCTGATAAGCTTCTCCGATGATATCGTGCAACCTTTAGAGAGTATACATTTACCTTTCACCATTGGTACAGGCCCTTACACAGCTACCATTACCACTAACTTCCTGGTGGTTGATTGCCCAACGACATACAATGTCATATTCGGACACACATGCATCAATGATCTCAAGGCCATGGTATCCACACATATGTTGTTGATGAAATTTCCAACCCTCTATGGCAATGGTTACATCAAAGGAGATCAACTTAGTGCACAATCATGTTACAACACTTCGGTCAAGCAACAGCACCTGCATGTGCCCAAGGAAACCCTTTCTATACATGACCAAGTCATAAAGACCAGCCCCGACGAAGCCAACTTGGATCTTCACGGTGGTAACAGTTAACCCGATGATCCTCGAGATGACTTTTTCACCCAGCAAGCACAACCCGCTGAAGAGTTTGAGAAGGTTTCTATCTCAAAAGATTATCCGGATCGCATGGTGAAGATTGGTACCACCTTGTCACCACCCATTCGATTGGCATTGATCTTTTTTTGCAAAAGAACACTGAGGTCTTCGCCTAGTCATACAAGGACATGCCAGGCATCTCTCCCGATATAATCTGTCATCGCTTAAGTATTGACCCCAAGACCAAGCCAGTGAGACAGAAGCGAAGATCTTATGACACTGAACGGTACGAGGCAATGAAGGCAAAAGTTGAAAAACTCAAAGGCATAGGCTTCGTCCGTGAAGTCAATTATCCAACGTGGGTAGCAAATGTTGTCTTTGTTAAGAAGAATCCGACCAAGGAAAGTCTCCTGCTCCAAAAGGTCTTATGGAGAATGTGTGTCGATTACACCGACCTAAACAAAGGATGCCCGAAGGATAGCTTTCCTCTTCCTCTCATAGACAGACTTATAGACTCTACGGCAGGGTGTGAACTCCTAAGCTTCATGGATGCTTACTCAGGATACAACCAAATCCTCATGAACCCTCCGGACCAAGAACACATAGCCTTCACTACTAACAGGGGACTATATTGCTATAAAGTCATGCCCTTCGGCCTAAAGAATGCAGGAACGACTTATCAGAGACTGGTCAATTCAATGTTCGTCGAACAGATTGGGAAGAGCATGGAAGTTTACGTTGATGATATGCTAGTTAAGAGCAAACATGCTGAGCAACTCATCACCAACCTATCTGAAACTTTCACCATTCTGAAGAGGTATCGAATAAGGTTGAACCATAACAAATGTGCCTTCGGCGTAGGCTCTGGCAAATTCTTAGGCTTCATGATAAGCCAACGAGGCATTGAGGCTAATCCCGAGAAGATCAAAGCAATCCTTAACATGAAGGAACTGGTAACTTCAAAAGACATCCAAAGCCTTACTGGCAAGGTGGCATCCTTAACTAGGTTCATCTCTAAGGCCACAGACAGATGTGCTCATTTCTTCAAAGCACTTAAGGGAAGTAAGAAGTACATTACATGGACTGATGAATGTGCTGAGGCATTCAAGAACCTCAAATACTACATGAGTAAAGCCCTTCTGCTCTCCAAACCTAAGGTTAGTGACACTCTCATTATCTATCTGTTGGTACCGGCTTCAACAATAAGTTTTGTTCTCATTCGAAATGATGGTAATGTCGAACGGCCTGTCTACTACGCTAGCAAGGCCTTACAAGATGCAGAGACACGATACTCCAACATTGAAAAATTAGCTCTAGCATTAGTCATGTCTGCTCGAAAACTTCGCCTTTACTTCCAAGCACACTTCATCATCGTGCTTACCAATCATCCTCTTCGACAGATACTCCAAAGTCCTGACACTTCCGAGCAAATGATTAAATGGGCAATAGCATTGGGTGAGTTTGATATCTCCTACCAACCAAAACCAGCTGAGAAGAGCCAAGCAATGGCATAGTTCATCGCCAACTTCACACATCATGTTGACATTGTTTCTAATACCTAAAGAGGTGGTTTCATTACCCTTGGAAGCTTAGAAAATAGAACCAATAGCCCCAGCATGGAGTCTATATGTTGATGGCTCGTCCAACCAACAGGGTTGTAGAGCAGGACTAGTCCTTACGACCCCTGACAAAGTGGCGATGGAGTATGCTCTTCGTTTCAAATTCAAGGCTTAAACAATGAGGCCAAATATGAAGCCCTCCTAGTTGGCTTACGTTTGGCCAAACACCTTGGGGTTAAACGAATTGATATCTTCAGTGACTCCTAATTGGTGGTTAACCAGGTCACCAACAACTTTAAAGCTAAGGATAGCTCCATGGCAGCATATCTGGCACAAATACAATTGTTGCTCAAGCATTTCCACTACCAGATCACCCAAATTTCTCGAGCAGCAAACAGTCAAACTACAACTAAAACCGACTAAATTTGTTTTCAGGTTTTTAGTTTTTAGTTTGCGCTCTCTTCCGTGCAGATTTCTTCCGGTTCCACCAACATGCGTCTACCTTTTGCTCATCCCTCTTTTTCTCCTTTCTTCCTAACAAAAATGTAAAAACTACAACTAAAACCGAAATGGTTATGTATCGGAAACAAATTTATGACGCTTACAAAACTCTCATTTTTGGTGGGAGGCATAAAACCATAGGGCATCTCCAACTAGTATACGTATATGACAGCGAAATGGTGTGGGAGGTTCTTCCGGGTTACATGGAGGACGCCGGTCCAGTTCAAACTACAAAACTTTACAAAGAAATACTGGTACGTAAAACTCCCAGAGGCATTATTTAATCACTACTAATAGAGAGCAGCTGATAAGATAAGGAAAACCACTACGCTGACAACGTCACTCCCTTGACATGCTTCAAGAACCAATCCAACAAGTCTTGATGAGCCTCCTCGGCAGATTTACAAGCTGCTTTGTCTTCAACATTGTACCTCACCGTCCACCCGTGTGACACTTTCGGGAATATCTTCACATGGCTCTTAACCTGTGATTCCACAAAACCAACGATCGTTTCAACAATTTCGAAAGTTTACCACTACAAGATACCACAGTAGTGAACGCAAACGTGGAAGGGGCTGTTTTTGGTGTTGTTCTATCATTTCTTCGAAAAGAACAAATTAAAACGTTTTCGAAAACCATATCTCAGCATTGGTATATGAGTTCTCGGGCACCCTTCCCTTACAGGTTGTTTTTGCAAGGGCAAGTTACCTATAAGTATTAAGCTATGCACAATTACATGTCATAATATGATAATATGAAACACAAAGTTCGCAAGGCATCTCAACTTGGAAATGTCGATGATTAGAATAAACAAAGGCACAAAGTATTGAAGATGAAGGATGTTCCTACCTCATTTACAGTTAAAACCTCTTCAAACTGTTTCACGAGTTCAGGCGGGGACATCCGATCAATCTCAGCTCCAAGTATAGAAATCGGAACCTTAACCTCTGAAAGTAGTTCCAGGAATAGATCACAGAATGAGTGTGAGGCTAATTATTTGTTTTTTCCGTTCCAATAATGGTGTCTAAGTAGATATTTTCTGAATATTAATACAGATATCTTACTTTTGATATCATCCACAGTGACAAATGAAGGATGACACAGAACAGCAGCTTGGATTAAGGCGTGCTTTGCAAGTTCAACCACAACCTTGGCTGAAAACAGCGCAAATAATTCAACGTCAACCAACAAAGCAACAAATAAAAGTAAATAGATGCAAGGAAAAATGAAATAGAGCAACAAAGATGTTAACGAGAGAGGAAAATGAAGTCACCTCCCCAACAGAAGCCAGCAGCACCGATTGCAGAAACACCTTTGCTTTTTAGAGCTTCAAGAACTGGCTTTGCATCTTCAAATGCCTTGTCCTATCAATCCAAAAATACGATTCAGAACCTAACAATACTTGAACATATCCAAATTGCAAAGTAACTTTTATAACACCCCAATGCTAGGACTCGTATTTTTTCATTGCCACAGAAGGTGGAATCAGCGTAGCTGTGAACAACCATAAAGTTTTTAACATAACAACAGTCATGGGACTGCCAAGCTGAACCCACACACAAGAGCAGTTCCACCGGAGGGCTTTTTGCCCAGCACCCAGCTGAAAAAATAGGCTAGCACCCAATGAATCCCCTCCAGCCGACGCAATTGACTGGCGCCCAGCCCAAGCTGGTCTCTAGCCCAGTCCAAAATTGACTGAGGCGTGGCCCGGTCCATCTGACGCCAGCGTGGCGTCCGACGCTTGGAACCCCGTCCCGATGCTTCGAACTCCGTCTCCGGCGAGGAAGATGGCTGGACGACGCTACCTTCGAGGACGAGGCTGCCGACCCGGAACTTCCTGTTGAGGACGAGCTGGTCTTGGAAGCTGTTGAGGACGATGACATCAAATCCGGCGATGCAGCTGAAGGTCAGGGCGTAGGTCCAGAGACGGCGGGTTTGGAGCTAGTGAGCCCAGGCGCCGATGTCAACTAGTTTGGGGCGGGTCAGACCGCGGAGGGCGGTGGAGAGGAAGCGGAGGGTGAAGGGGAGGTGGAGATTTGATGGAGGGTGGAGATGGGGAGGGTGAGAGAGAAGGCTCACGGTGATGGTGAAGGAGAGAGAGGGAGAGAGAGCTCACTGCCAAATTATTATTTTTTATTATTTTATAATAAAAATAATAATATTTTAATAAAATGGACTAGGCTATTTTTTGTTAGGGATGGAAATGCTTTGGCCTATTACTGTTTATATGGGTTTATTACTGTTCACTGGAGTGGATAAATGCGCTGAGTGCTAGCACAAAGTCCTTCGGGGTGGACTTGCTCTAAACATCTGAGATTTCTTGTAGAAGTACTTCGATCAATCATTAACAAAACAAAATGGTAACGGATATGCATAAGTAGACAATGATAAAAGAACCAACCAGTCCGTGATCTTTTATCCAAACAGGAAGAGGTCTATTGGCATCTTCAGGCACATAAGGGTCTTTGTTCAAGAAGTCGGGGACAACAACGAAGAACCCAGCAGCTGCAACTTTGTCAGCAAGCTTCCTTTACAATGGAAGGCAGGTGGCATTAGGTGAAGGATATATGGGAACATGGTAACTATACAGTGATTCAACACACAGTTTTTCTTCGATGAAAATCTCTGATGTCAGCAATTGGCATGTGAAATTTAAGCCTTCCATAGATTTTAGAGTGAACAATTTAAGAATATAGGTCTGGATCTTCAAACCATCAGAAAGGGTCATTAAAAAGGCAGGGTATCCCACAATCCGAAACTACTGGAATTTGGTTGTAAATACCTTAGAAAATTAAGTTAGACATAGATTACAGACCTACTGTAACTTTTATTCTTCTTCCTTAACGATTGTACTTTTTAAGTAAATTATTCATCAAACTTAACCAGCAAGGGTAACTAAAGGCCCCGAGTCAGTATCCGAAATCGAAAAAAGGACAGCATAAAAAGTTCAGATTCAAGAAAAAGCGATTCTTAGAACTAATCTAGCACATTAAGGACTGAAAATAAAATTAGCTGTCGAAAAAAACCGATAAGATAGTAGTCATCATACCTCAAGTTTGGAGCTTCAAATCCTGCATGACAAATCAAACATGTACCATTACAAAGCAGTTACAAAATACACACTTTCACCTAAAACTGAACGTCACATAAGCTAGATTATCATATGAAGAAAAAGAGAGGTTTTTGAAGTGGTGGGGAAGTTACCAAAAATGTCAGAGACGAGAAGGACGGCGAGCTTGGAGTCAGGGGAGCCAGTGACATAGGAGTCGAGACCGCCAAGCTTTTCGACATGGCCGGTGCCACTGGAGGGGTTGAGGGTCGGAGGGTTTGAGCAGCACTGAGGGCCTGACATTCTTTCTTCTCCTGTGAGTCACAGAAACTGTTTGCAACTACTTACGTAGCTAGAGGATGGTTCAGGGAGCTAAAAAGGTGTGACCACAATTCTGAAAGCATCTATGCGTTGCGTTACGTAGCTTGCTTTACACGCCATATATAGAAGAGTTTAGAAGAACTTATTGACTGAAAAGGTCTGAGCCTTGCCACTTTTCATTCTTTTATTTGCATCATCTCAAACGTCACCTAGTTTGGAAGTATACGTGTGTTGCGTAACCTCAAACGTCACCACAGAAGTATTTTGAACATTTTGAAGTATATTTGCATCATCTCAAAACAGCATTAGATGTACATGTGTTGTATTACTGTTACGCTAGATAGTTTACAAGTACATTTTGACTAGTTGTATGTAACAGACACAATATCATGACATCTTTTTTTGTCAATAATATTTTAATTGTCTGTCACATAAATTGTTAACATACTGATGTGGCAATGTACATTTTAATAATTTACTCATTAGAATATAAAAATTAGGTCATATGCTTTCGTGATCCGGGTGGTGAGACCGTAATTTAAAATGGCCTATGTCGTGAAAAAGTTGTTTTGTTCATAACACTGTGGTTAAGTCCGTTAGCAATATCAATTCAATTAGTAATTTTCAATCTTCGTTAGGGGAAAAAAATGTCCTTCACCCCCATTAGTCATCTCATCCAATCATAAGTGGTCATACTGACATATATTATTATTTTTTATTTAGAACTAGATAATAAATTAATAAACTGATATTTCCCCCACCCCGATCTTTCTCGTCTTTTGATTCTCAAGGAAGAAATAAAATTGGCAGCCAGGGAAGGAGTTTTCCAGAATTAAAACCTCATCATCCCCTATAACTTTCATAACCAATGGCGACTGATTGAGAGATTGAACGACATTGTGCATCAACAGGCTAACAACTGATCGAGTCCTGTTAGTGCAGCAAGACAGTTAGTTGTGCATGGTTTGTACATCTACTGTTAAGGATAGTTTTGTAAATGACTCAGTTGATGATAAAACTTAGAGTTGTCAATTTGTTGAGATAGTTGTAATAGGAGGTTAATTAGTTGGAAGTAATAGTTATTTAGTGTGTTGATGCACAAAATCAGTAAGGATTTTGTAGGCCTGGCAAACGGGTCGTGTCTGTCGTGTTCGTGTCGTTTTCGTGTAACACATGTTGTCTTAACGGGTCGTGTCGTGTCACACCCGTTATCTTAACGGGTCCTTAACAGGTTGGGTCACTTTACCCGGGTAAAGTGACCCGGCCCATTATGACCCATTATAACCCGTTAAGAAAAATATTTTTTTTCTTAAATTTGCACATACATTGCTACATAAATATTACTTCAAAACATTAAAACACATTTGTCGTTTAAGTACTACATCTACACTCGAAAATAAGAGCATAATAAACAAACATTCATACACTACTAGTCTATTACAAAATATTAAATGTGCAAGGATATGTAAAATAAAAGAGTTTTTGTTTTCAAGGTTGTGAAGTATTTCTCAAAAGTTTAAATCTTGCCAATGGAACTCAAAGCTTGCATGTTATTCCTTTTAAAAAAAATCCTCAATTTTCATCAATCATCATGACATAAGATTTTGTGGTATCCACTAGTGTAAATATTTTAAATTGAAGATCAAATTCATTCATTGTATTCATATCAGGTCAAGAAGTGCAGCTGTATAAAATCATCAAAATTGGAGTTAAAATAACCGTTAAATCGTGATTTTTAGTTGATAATCGTCGAAATTTTTTGTCCCGTTACTTGATCTATGAATGTTTGTTTTTTTGCAATTTTTGGCATATGCGATCTTGAAGCATATACAAACAAGTTTGACAGTTGGATTGTTGAAATTAGTTTTGTAGAATGTGTATCCCATCAAAACGATAGATTCACTAACACTTAGAGTTTATTTATATTTTCATTAAGTATAAAATAAGATTTTGTGGTATCCACTCGTGTAAATATTTTAAGTTGAAGATCGAATTCATTTATTGTATTCATATAGGGTCAAGCAGTGTAGCTGTAAAAAAAATCATCAAAATCGGAGTTAAAATAACTGTTAAATCGTGATTTTTACTTGATAACCATTGAAAAGTTTTATCCTGTTACTTGATCTCTGAATGTTTGTTTTTTGCAAATTTTGGCCTATGCGATCTCGACATATATACAATCATGTTTGACGGTTGGATCGTTGAAACTATTCATAGAATGTGTATCCCATCAAAACAATAGATTCACTAATACTTAAGAGCTTATTCATACTTTCATTAAGTATAACATAAGATTTTATGGTATCCACTAGTGTGAATATTTTAAATTGAAGATCGAGTTCATTCATTGTATTCATATAAGGTCAAGGAGTGTAGCTGTAAAAAATCATCAAAATTGGAGTTAAAATAACCGTTAAATCGTGATTTATCGTTGATAACCGTCGAAACGTTTTGTCCCATTACTTGATCTCTGAATATTTGTTTTCTGCAATTTTTGGCGTATGTGATCTCAAAGTATATACAAACATGTTTGACGGTTGGATTGTTGAAACTAGTTTCGTAGAATGTGTATCCCATCAAAACAATAGATTCACTAACACTCAAGAGTTTATTCATACTTTCATTAAGTATAACATAAGATTTTGTGGTATCCACTAGTGTAAATATTTTAAATTAAAGATCGAGTTCATTCATTGTATTCGCATAGGGTCAAGGAGTGTAGCTGTAAAAAATTATCAAAATCGGAGTTAAAATAACCATTAAATCATGATTTTTCGTTGATAAACGTCGAAAAGTTTTGTCCTGTTACTTGATCTCTGAATGTTTATTTTTTGCAATTTTTAGCATATGTGATCTTGAAGCATACACAAACAAGTTTGACGGTTTGATCGTTGAAATTAGTTTCGTAGAATGCGTATCCCATCAAAACGATAGATTCACTAACACTTAGACTTTATTTATACTTTCATTAAATATAACATAAGATTTTGTGGTATCCACATCCACTAGTGTCAATATTTTAAATTAAAGATCGAATTTATTCATTGTATTCATATAGGCTCAAGCATTGTAGTTGTAAAATATCATCAAAATCGAAGTTAAAATAATCGTTAAATCGTGATTTTTAGTTGATAACCGTCGAAAAGTTTTATCTCATTACTTGATCACTGAATGTTTGTTTTTTGCAATTTTTGGCGTATGCTATCTTGAAGTATATACAATCATGTTTGATGGTTGGATCGTTGAAACTAGTTTCGTAGAATGCGTATCCCATCAAAACAATAGATTCACTAACACTTAAGAATTTATTCATACTTTCATTAAGTATAACATAAGATTTTGTGGTATCCACTAGTGTAAATATTTTAAATTGAAGATCGAGTTCATTCATTGTATTCATATAAGGTCAAGGAGTGTAGCTGTAAAAAATCATCAAAATCAGAGTTAAAATAACCGTTAAATCGTGATTTTTCGTTGATAACCGTCAAAAAGTTTTGTTCTGTTACTTGATCTCTGAATTTTTTTTTTTTTACAATTTTTTGTTGATGCGATCTCAAAGCATATATAAACAAGGTTGACGGTTGGATCGTTGAAATTAGTTTTGTAGAATTCGTATCCCATCAAGTTCAATGGTATATATATATTTATTAAGTAGATTTAAATTTATTTATTTTGTACATATAACACTTAAGAAATTGAATGGTATGTATATTTAAGCCGATCCAATGGTCAACAATTTTTAATATTTAATTTAATATATATATATATATATATAATTATTATAGTTATTAGGGGTATAAAATTGTTAAATTAATATATATATATATATAATTATTATAGTATTTTTTTAGGGTTATAAAATTATAAAATTAATATTTTGGTTATCGTGTATCGTGTTACCCACGTGTATACCCGAACTAACCCGTTATCTTAACAGGTGCTTATCGGGTTACCCAATAAGACCCGATTCGTTATCGTGTCGACCCGAGCACTTGTTAATTTCGTGTCGTGTCGTGTCGGGTTATCGGGTCGTGTCAGGAATTGTCAGGCCTAGGACTTTGGTACAACAGAAAGTGTTAAGTTTGTGACCTTCTCTAGATTGCTCCGGTCACTAGTGTGGATAAATATGTAAATGGATAGGGACAGGGAAGCAAACACAAGATGTACGTGGTTCACCCAGATTGGCTACGTCCACAGAGTAGAGGAGTTCTCATTAATTGTGAAGGGTTTACACAAGTACATAGGTTCAAGCTCTCCTTTAGTGAGTACTAGTGAATGATTTAGTACAAATGACATTAGGAAATATTGTGGGAGAATGATCTCATTTTATAGAAGATTTTCTAGCTTTGTTCTGACATTGACACGTGTCGTGTTATGATTGGCTTCTGATGTTGACACGTGTCGCGCTGTGATTGGCTTCTGATGTTGACACGTGTCGCACTGTGATTGGCCTCTTGGTTGGAGGGAAACTCTTCTGGGTCCTTGACAGTATAACGTTGACCGGTGCTTAATAGTTTCGGGATTGGTCAAGTATGGTACAAACAATGCTTCCTTAAGTTCCTAAGTGAGGGAAACTCCTCAGTTGAGGACTTGCAAGATCCAAGCCGCTGAGTAATCACGAAACTTCTAAGTACCGAAGTATGGTATCGTCTTCACTTGCCTTATCTGTCTCATAGGTAGATGTGGCATCTTCTCTGGAAGTACTTTTCCTCCATTCAGATGTGGTATCTTTACCAGTAAAGATGCACAAGGTAATGTATCAATTTCACTTGAAGCTTACTTGTAGTTTTAGGCTTGGTCAAGCGCGATACAAACCATGTAGTAGGAGTCCCCCAAGTCGCCAAACTCGGAGATCTGCCGAAAGAGGTGACAGAGAAGGTAAGCAATCAGAGCTTCAAGCAATCAGTCCCAGATCAGAAGTTTGATTTCGAGTTCCGGCTGATTGTTCTCATTCTCCCTATCTTGCAGGCAGCATTAAGGATAAAGAGAAGAAAAAGGAGAAGAGATGATATGAGATACTTTTGCTTTTGAAGAAGTAACTTTCCACAAGCTTATTCTTGAACTAGGCTGAAGGGTTTTCTAGTTTCCTCCAGAGTATAAG